TGGCATCAGCACAGCCGATGACGATGTGAAGGGAAGCCGTTTGGGGAGCTCTGCAGTAAAATCACCCAGGGGCTTGGGGACCCCGGGCAGCTTGCCCAGCCCTCTGCACGCCCCCCTTTTCCGCGGTCCCTCTCAGAGGCTGCGCAGACCACTCCATGAGCAAACATACGCATGAAGGCTCAGCCCTGAGTGCGCAGTACATAAGCGCCAGGTGTTTGATAATGATGATTAATTGAGAAAGGGGAGGTTGCAAGTAGGCTGTGAGCCAGCTTTGCAACGACAGGAGCTGTGGGGCTGTTTGGTGAGGACTGTGCCCGAAGCTCAGGTGTGGTGGAGACCTCTCTAATTAGGGTGAAGTCAATGCGTGGAGGTGGGGCAGGTCCTGTCAGATGGTGACCCTGGGGCTAAGGGTGGCTCCTGGATCCCCAGATGCTGAACGCTGCGATTGGCTTGTGTCCCTTACTGCCAGGAGGCAGGCCCCCGAGGCTGGGCTCAGAGGGGGCCACACCTGGCCTGGGATTCAGAGCCTGGAGGTGCAGAAAAGGGGTAGCCCTTGCCTTTCGTGTGAGTGACCCAGCCTAGTCCTTTTCCCGCTCCATGCCTCATTTCCTCATCTGCAAAACGAAGTTGTACCCCACCCCAATCTGGGAAGAAGCCCCCAGCTGCACGTCTGGTGCCCCTCAGAGCCTCTCTGTAGCTGCCTCAGTCCCGCAGATGCTCCTGGCCCCTCGTCCTGAGCCTGGAAGCCCTCATATCAGCTAGTGCCTGTTTTCTATCCCAGGCCAACGTGGCCTTCCCTCCCAGGGTCCGGCACATGCACGCAGACCCCCGTGGGTCATGCACCTTGCAAACGTGCATGAACTCGTGTCATCCTCACTGTAACCCATCTAGGAGGCGCTCAAAGTGTTCCCACTTTCCAGTTGAGGAAACCGAGGCTCAGGGAGGCTCATGACTTGCCTGAGGATACATGGTTGTTATGTAACAGAGCTGGGATTTGAACCTCGGCTCAGCCTAGCTTGGTCCAGAGTAGACATTGAGTTAACACAGTCCCGCTGAGAAGAGGGTCCCCGAAGGGCAGGACAGTATTTTGGTAGATCTTTGTGCCGGACCTGTGGTGTAGCAGGCGTGAGGTGCAGCGTCTGCCATCGGCAGTCCCTCTGTCTGGTCTTGGGGACTGATGGAGCTGAGGCACCAGGCCTGGATGAGGTGGAGTCAGAGAGAGAGGGAGGGGCTGCGAGAGGATAGGCTTGGAGGTGAGGCCTACTGATCCTGCTTATTCCGGAGCAGAGCCTCTCAGTTTATGCCCTAGAATCTCCAGACTTCTTGTACCTCCAGCAGCACACAGACCATCATTTCGGCCCACCTCACAAAGTAAAGGTCAGTGTGGTAGGGACCAGGACCCACTGCGGGACCTCGTGGACAGAGGAGACCGTTTTTCTGCTTGTATGTGTGTATGACAAGACTCCAGGCAGCTAAGTGGTATTTAAAGAAGATGAATCTAGCATCTGAGGTGGGGAAAATCTCAGCAGAGTGAGCACCTGCTAGGAGGCTGTTGTAGGAACACGGGCCCTGAGGGGAGACCTGGCCCTTCCCCAGGGGTGACCATGCCATTCCACAGTTCACCACGTGAGGACAGAAACAGGCCTTTCTTTACTGAATCACAATGAACCACTTCCGGGGAGGTGGTGCCCAAAGCAGCTGACTGGCCAGGGGTGTCTGCAGCTTCCTCTCCAGAAGACTTTGCTAGTTGGGCTGGAAGATGTCTTCTGATAAATGAGCCTCAGAAGTCCATGTCCTAGGCTGGCCGCCAACCCAGGATGGCTGAGTCGATGAGCCTGCCGGCTCCTGCCTCCCCTGCTTTTCTCTGACCCCAAAGGAAAGGGCAGCTGAATTTGCCCCTGGGCCACTTGGATTGTGTAACCAACAGCCAGATAGGGATGGGGAGAGGAGAAGGAGAGAGGCCCTGTCAGGCTCGTCTGGAAAAGGTCAAGACCCCAGAGCAGGCAGGACAAGGGGTGGGAGGAAGAGAGGGGAGAGTGTGCATCTCCATCGGGAGCCAGGAAGCTGGGGGCAGACGGCCTCCCCTGAGAAACCTGGACTATAGCTGCCAGCGTGGCCACAAATCCCAGGAATTTGGCAGCTGCTGCAGAAAGGCCGTCTCTGACCTCAACGAGGATACAGGTCATCTTGGGTTTCTCTCCTGTCTGTTAGAGGGTCAGCACAGCAGACCTCGCTGTCTCCTTCACAGCGATGAAATGTGTCATCGCCCCAGGACCTGCCAGTTGCTATGCTCTTGGCATGTGGGGAGCAAGATGAGGGGTGGGCTCCTTCTAGGACCTCAGGCCACCTGCACGTGGGCTTCCCTTCTGTCTGGAGTGAGTAGGCCACCAAGATCCTCAGGCCCCAGGAATGAGACTGAGTGATTCTGTCTCAGCCCCCAGACATCCAGCTTCAGCATCGTTGGGCAGAGGGACAGATATGGGGGCCAAGGGAGCTTCCAGGAGCACCTGACTCTGAAGAACATGATCCAAGGCTTGGTGCTGCCCCCTGGTTTCCCAAGAACAACAATAATAGCAACTAACGTTTATGAAGAGCTCATTGTGTAGTGAGCCCTTTCTAAGCATTGCCCCATTCCTCCCATGACAGAGGGCTGTACTATTGACCCCATTGTACAGATGAGTAGACTGAAGCTGTGCACTCTGCCTCCTGTCTCCAGAGCCTGGTGGTGACCATTTTTAGTTCTTTGTTCTCAGGCCCTGAGGGACTCTGGAAAGTTCCATTTACTGCTGCTGTATGTGACACCATGGCTTTCTGCTAGCTTGGTGGTTTCTGATGGTACCTGTACTCATTCAACCTTAAAGTGTGGCATTGGGGCCAAGTCAGATCGAATATACCCAGGGTGACAACCCTGCCTACCCCAAACAGTGCCCCTGGTTCCCTCCTGTGTCCTGCCTCCACTTGCTCCCAGGAACAGGTGGGTGTCAATCATTTACCCCTTCTCACGATTTTAAGTCTGTGTTCTTCCTGGGAGGCTGCATTTCCAGTCTGCTCTCGGTGTGGGAGGGAAAACTATCCCAGGAAAGGGATTCGAAACTAGGAGAGCAGGATTTGGGAAGCAGCAGGCTTTCCCTAGCAGAGCCACCAGCAGCCGCCCATACAGGTGTTTTGCGCAAATTAGAAGGTGCCTTTTACTCCAGGCAGATATAACCTATGCCCAGGTGTGTGTCGATGAGCAGAGCGAGGGCTGGGTTTCAGCTCCTTCTTACCATTTCATCCAGGTGCTCTTGTGCGGTGGACGACTTAGACAACTGTACTTGGCAGCCCTGCTTCCAGGGCTCCTGTTGGCTCCCATCGCCACCACCCCCAGTTGGTTGCTAGGGGCTCAGAGCACAAACCCAACACCATTCAGATGTCCTTTCACCCTGGGAAGATCAGGATGCGTATCTCCACTGCCCTGCTTGATGTCTGTTGCTCATGTGCTTAGTGGGGCTTGACTGAGATCTGTTAACTCATGCCAGGGGGAGGTTTAGAGGTGGAAGGACTCTAAGAGATCATTTAGCCCAGTGCCCATTGTATAGACGAGAAAAATAAGGCCTTGCAAGTTAGTGTGGCTTGAGCAAGTCATTGTGAAGACTTTGTTTCTCCTCTCTAGTTCCTTTCTCTCTTGTCTTGAGCCTTTGCTGTGTGCAGGGCTGAACAAGTATTCACCCCCTCCTTTACAGCTGAAGGTGCTGAAGCCCAGGGCAGCTGGACACTTCACCCAAGCTCACCCAGTGAGTTAACAGCCCTCCTTAGGCCGAGCTTTCTCTGTCTGTTCCCACCAGCAGCAGACCCCAGAGTGCCCTGGGATCAGCTCTCTTCCTGTGGGATGAAGAAGAGGGGACCCCAAGACCTCACAGGATACACCTTCACCCAGTTTCTGGCCTTGCGGCTGGCTTTCCTCATGTCTGCTCTGCATGGGATAATCAAGTCACCCCTCTTGCCATCAGGAAGAAGATGGAGGGTTGCTGCTGGCACTGCTGGGAGTTCTGCCCAACCTGGGGGAAGAACCAGGCCACACTCTGCCTGCCTCCCAGCCCATGTCCCTGGACCAGATAAATTATTCCCCCACAGCTACTCTAGCCTGAAATATCAAGTGTGTTCAAGGTCAAAGGGCCTGGCCTGGGGAGACCATGTATCCCTAAGCCTTATAGTAGCTGTGCTTAGCTCCAGCTGTACTGGGACCACCTGTATTCTAGAAATACTGTATTCTAGATAAATTGATTCTTGGGCCCCATTGCCAGAGATTTTGATATGACTGGTCCAGGGTTGGGGCCCATGGAGAGTTTTAAAACTCCCCAGGTGATTGGCATGTCCAGCAGAGATGAGAATCATTTTCACACTGACACCCATGCCCATGGGAGGGACACCTGACGATTTGGACGTGGAACCGGTTTGCTTGATAATCTGCCTGGATAATGGGCAAAGAAAACTCTTGGTAAAATGCAGTGTAGTTTATATAAAGTCCAGCGCTTAATTTCAAAAAGTAAACTGACAGAAGATGGGTACTTGGTAGGAGGTGAAGGAGGCCTTGGCTGCTCCGAGACTGGCAGGAGCCAGCAGTGACCTCTCTCGAGGCATTAAGAAATGGGAGGGAGGGAGGCAGGTAAAGATGCAGTGCACACACACATGCAGGCATGGTCCTGCGGCCGGGACTTTAATAAGGATGTTGACAAACCGAGGCACATTCCAGAACCTGGGACTGATGGAGAATGAGCTGAGGAATTCAAGGGTGGGCATGGGGTGAGATTCTGCTGGAGCAGAGCAGACTCCAGGGACTGCGAAAGTGGGCTGCAAGTATCGGGGCCCTGATGACAGATGGGGAGGGGCTTGGCCCAGGGGGTAGAAGATTTCAGCTCAACACAAGGAGGAAATTCTATCCCAGCAGTCCCAGCCCAGTGCTAACCTCCAGAGTGGGAGGGAGACCCAGCCAGTCCCAGGGAGCATGTTTGGGGCAAGCACTGAGCTAGGCTCCCATCCAATAGTATTTCCAGCCACCTTTGCCTGAGCCCGGGACTGATGGAGAATGAGACTGGCTTAGCCTAGGTTCCTCCACCTGGGCACTGCTGACATTTAGAGTTGGATGGTTCCTTGTGGTGGGGCCTTCCTGTGCATTGCAGGGTATTGAGCAGCATCCCTGGCTTCCACACACTAGATAGTAGCACTCTCCATCATTATGACAATCAGAAATATCTGTAGATCTTGCCAAATCTGTCCTGGGGAGCAGAACCGCCGCCCTACCCCACTGAGAACCACTGACTTGGAACAATGGCCCTCTACTCTGGCTGCACAGAGGGAGCCCCTGGCCGCTTTAGAAAATACTGATGCTGCCTGGGTCTGCGCCCAGAAGTGTGATATCATTGCTCTGGGTGAGGCCCAGACAACCTGGGGTTAAACTGCCCCAGGTGATTCTAATATGCTGTTCCGTTGAGCCCCCCTGGGGAAGACTGTTTCTCAAACTTGAGGCATCATAAGAATCACCTGGGTGGTGGCTCTAACCCGTCTTGATTTAATTAGAATCACCTGGAATTCTCAGACGTGGGCAAGTGTGGGAAAGGCCGCTGCGTTTCCATAAGCCCCTTGCAGAGAGCGAGGCTCCAGGGTTCTGAGCTGAGAGGCCTGGCTAGCCTGTCTGGCTGGGACCTCAAGTACCTCCTGCTGAGTTTCCTCCCCCTCTGCCCTCCCTTCCAGCTCTCTGCATCCCAGGGTTGGGCCTCTCCTCACCTCCCCCACCTTCTCCTCCCCGGTGACTTTATCCCAGCCCCCGCCCTCCGCCAGCTCCTGTGAGCCCGCCAGCAGCCGGCCCCCTCCTCTTTTCCTCCCAGCCGGTGGCTCTCAGCGCGGGCTTGATTTAGTAGGCGTTGGAGGAGAAAGGCAGCTTGAAGAGTCACTAAGAGCCTCGATGCTAGCCAGCACTTATCTGGATAGGAGAGGCCGGCAGCCCCGGGAGGGAGCCGGGGTGTAAGGAGAGACACACCTCTCCACCAGAGGGAGAAGGGCCTTGGCAAACCTGCCGTCGTCACAGCCCTCTGCAGGGTTATTGGTACCGTGAGCTACCAGCAACCTCCACCCCTAGCACGCAGCGTCCGGGCTGCCTCTCCCTGCCACACCCGGATGAGGCAGAGAAGAGGGGGTGAGGGGAGGAGTAGGGGGTACCCCTACAGTCACCTCCTGCGGGTGGGGTACAGCTCCTTGCAGCACTAAGGCAGGAAACTCAGAGACCTCTGGGTAAGGACAGACGTCAGGTGGGCTCCTTGGGGGGGTGTCCTGTGGCTCCTGTATGGCTATTGGGGGCGCAGGGAAAGGGCCCCCACCTGGCTTCGCTACTCCCCCCACCCCAGCCTTTTGGTTGTTTGCCTATCCCCCTCTCCTGGTACCCGTCTCCCTCCTTCTCCCTAATGAAAAATACAAAAGGAAAATGCGCCAGTGCCCAGGTCTGGGGAGCCCCAGCCCGCAGGATGGAGAAATGAAAAGCGGCCCCAATTAGAGGCTTTGGTTCTGCAAACTTGATGCTCGGCACTTGAACTGTCAACGGTGGAGCCTTAATTAGCAGCGGCGGGGGAGAGGTCAGGAACAACTCAGCAGTCTTGACAAGCGCGTTATCAAGTGCAGGGGAGCGGGGGCTGCCCGGGCCGCGGGCGGGGCGCGGGGGA